AATAAGAGGTACTACAGGCAGTAAATGTTTCTGGTTATACTGCCTGAAAAGGAGAACACTAAATTTTTTAATATTATAAGACTGAAATGATTTTACCTTTCATGCCTCATAGCTCTTATCAAAAATGCTGCTGCATCATCCTTCTCTGCTACTATAGCCAGTTCCACAGGTAGCATGGCTCTTTTTCGCACAGGTTTTCGCTGATCTTTAGTCTTCACTGCAAGCAGCAGAGGGTACTTCCTTACAAGTGTTTTTATGACATTTAAAAAGCCAAGTTCTGCTGCATAGTGCATCAGTGTCTTCCTGATTTTGTCTTCTTGATCCCGGAAAGCCTTGTATCTGTTGCATAGGCTAATTTCACTTTCTAGCAGAATCTCTAAAAAGTGATTTATCTATAAAACACATGATAACAAAAATATATTTTAAATCTAATTTTCAACCTTCACAGTGCATTAAGCTAATACACTTTGGTGACGGTGGCTAGAAGCAAATAATTGTTGGCTATTAATTTTTTTTTTAAAAGGAACTTGTTTATTTGGTGCCCTATGTTTTTCAATAACTTAACAAACTTTAAATAACTATTATTTAATTTTTATGGTCAAAATTCAAAGTGGAATAAGCATTTACACACATAGTTTAATTTTCCTTAAATTTGTTAAGAACGCCTCTCCCAATTTAGTTGCTTGGGTATTGAGCCTTGAGAAGTTGCATGAACTTATAAAAAGATTTTTTTTTCCTTAAAAATTAAACTTGAAATTTCTAGCAACCACTTGATGATTTTAGATGGCTAAATGGCAACTTTGACGAGACTTAACCTTAAAGCCTATAATTCTCTTAGTTCAGTAGAAGAAAGACAACTTTGCTTCATACCCTCTGCTCGAGTCCGGGAAGTTTTTCAGGATTATCTATGTACTGTTTAGATGCTGGCCACTGTTTTAACATCACAAGTGCTGGATCGTCACTATCAAGTTCGCCATGGTCCTTGTACTTCTGAATCAGTCTTTCAACCTGGACTTCATCCATAGCTCTGTTCCATGACATCCCATTCTTTTGCTTCTGATGGACCTTGATAAATAAATAACTTTAGGTACACATGTGGCTTTTAAGAGTTCAGCTCAAGTGCAATTGTTGCTGCTAGAAGCTACGGCAATCATGGACAGATTACCGACAACCACTTTCATACACAAGGATTTAACGCACCTAAATCCGTAATTGAACACGTTTGTTTGGTCAAGACGGCTGGATTTCCTAAATTTATCTTATGGCGTTTCAGGTAGGGTCTGTTTCATGACGATGTCAAGATACACAAAGAAGCAACGAGAGAACGAGGATCATCTTGGCCGAACAAGCTTGGTCAATAAAGGATCTACCTCGCGTGAAAAAGAAATACACCAATTATTTTCAAAATGAAATAAAAAATGTCGCCAGCACCTTAATCCAAAACTCCTCGTCAAAATCTTCCTCCAATATATCTTGTTGGTGACCACGACAGCGATCAATGTTTTGCTGGTCTCCGCGTTCATTCCACCTATCAGTGCGCTCAAGCTCTTTTCCTCCTTTACTCATAACTGAATTGTTTAACAACAGCCACATTTAAGCAATATGTGTTACATTTACATCATACTTTGATATAAATGGTGCGTTTGTAAGCAAGATCTGCTTGATAAGTCAGTAAAGCGATGAATGATGAGCCGAGTCATATATGGAAGCCTGGGCCTAACTCATCACCAGGAATTTAATGACTTTCGGTCGAAAAAAAGGAATCTTTCCCCCTTTTGGAAAAAAATATGAGAAAGAAAAAGAAAATTGATTCGCCACGCCATTACCACTCAGAGATGTCAAGGCCCCCATTTAAACCAGCTTGAAGCTGAACTGGGCCACCCTGCATAAATATCGCAAATAAATAAATAAATAAATAAAGTTACCTTTATAAGCTTGGAATAGACCACTAACGCTTATACATTTCATTTTTTTTCCTTCTAGAGGTCTCAAGGGAATTATTTGTCTCTTGTAAACTACGGGCGTATCAGTTTCAGGTGAATATGACAAAGAAAAATGGCTCTCTAAATATTACATGACTGGCATTGAGAGGAAAAAAACCTCATATGCTGTAGAGGTCTATTTTCCACGAGGCTACAAGACGAGACGAGGTGAAGGCCCCCGAGAGTGTGAAAAGTGATAACACGATGTCAAACCAGAGCTAGTTTCCCATAGTTTTTAGCGAAAACAAAGCCGAAAGAAAGGCGCAATTTTCCCCTTTGGGTAGGTAATTAGAATGCATGTTTTGAAGTACCTCTTCCGCTCGCAGAGCTTGCCAGAGGGTCGAAAAAGTTCGCAAAGTTGCGATAGAATTCATAAAACTATGTTCTGCGTCAAAAGTCGGTGCTCTGAGTCATCCATATGAAACTATAGACAACAAGAAATTAAGCACGAGTTCACGTCGGAGCGCCAGTTGCTTGTATTATTTCGAAGTGCTTGAAAGCTCTGACGAAGCACGGGCCTTGATTAATTTCTGGTCCAAACACACATATCATCGAAGCAGTCTTTAAGCGACAGCTTTCAAGGGATGAGTTTATACATTCAACATTCGTTTGTCATGCATTTCGCACGTTTCCTTTTGGTATATATAAGAGTAGCTAAAGGCCTTACCACACCATAGTTGCAGTATTCTAGGTGAAACGCTTGTGCAGAACATTCGAAGCGGGTTTACTCAATTTGTTTGAATCTCTACGCACAAATTCGGCTTGGTCAAAAATGAAATGCACGTTGTTTTTGTACACTGAAAGCGACAGCAACCAAGCCGAGAGACTGATGGATTATTTTCAAGGCAGGCTGCGAAAGATTGCAGACATGAGAAATATCGACAACATTTTGGTGAGGAACCATGATTTCAGGTATGAACTTTGCCACAGTGAATGTGTTGTGTTGATCGGGACACACCATGCTTCGTCCCTCATTCAAAACAAGCAGCAAGAAAAAGACGAAGATGACATCATTTTTGACGGCAAAGTTATGCATGAAGAGTTTACAGAAAACAAAGAACTTGTCAAGAACAGACTCGTTATTGTTCACTTCGCGGAAAGAACCGAGAATTTGTGGATCCCGAATGGTTTTGATGAAAAGCGACTGTTTCACGTGGAGGATGGAAAAGTTCCTCTCGATGGAAGTCCAACCTTAGCCCACCTTGAATATCGCATGAAAAAAATATTGCTTGGAGACGACTTTTTGTATTGAGCTCTAAGGACAACAGAGTAAAGAATATAATGGGTATATCCGTGGAGAGAGCCGCAGTTGTAAAAGGCTGAGTCCTTGACTGATTGCTTTAGTAAGTTTGCTTCGGTGTGATAGACAATAGTAATTAAACGTAGTTGTGCGTATCGTTAAATTTTCTCAATCAAAACACTCTTTTTGATGGTTACGCCCTTAGGTCAACCGTGAGGTGTAATAGTGGACGATGTGATTATGATAAAGACAAAATTTAGCTTTAACGGCTCAGGGTTTTGTAGATAAGTACTTTGATATTGTTTCGAGGAGACCTCAGAATTTTGAAAATCTTCACGGTTTCGCTTACATCAATAGCTATAAAAGCTGTCTACAATATCTCGCCAACATGGCTCCTAACACCCTGTAAATGGAAAAAAATGGCCAACATCAGTTCTACTTTCTTAAAAGTTCCTTAGCAAATGTTTAGGTCATGTTCCTCTTTGTTTATCCAATAGACTCCTCATTTATATTATGCTATAAAACTCTAAAGATATGCTGTTATCGTGGTTATTTGTTTAATTTTGCAAATTATGGGTATGCTAAACGCCTCTGCATGGCTGGAGCACAGTATGCTCTATTGATTGACCATCAATGTGGATTATAAAGCACAGTATTGGCACTTAAAGTCGATTATAAGGAATAAATGAAATGTTGACGTTATATGCTTATCCTCGCTTCCAGGGCCTCTCTCTCCTTCCTACCGACCATGATGCGGGTCGCACACTTCCTGTACCCAGACTACCCACGACAAAATGGTTGGAACTTGAAAACACTATGGCATTGTAAAATATTATGTTCAAGAAACGATTAAATCATCTTTCATGCAGTTTCTAAACTAACGCTGTAAATTGCATTTTGTTGAGCTAACAAATGAATGGAATGAATGAATGAATTTCCGTTCGTAAACTTAAATAATTCGAGGGAATTTCCGCTTCTTTAAAT